GTTGAGTCCAAATTTACTCTGTAAGAGCTGGGGGACTTCCACTGAGTTGAGGACGGAGGCGAAGAGGAAGACCATGGAGTAGGCTATTGTTGCGAGGAGCACGGGGATGTTGGTGAATAGGCTGAGGGGATGGAAGAATTCGGACAGGCGGAATGGCGTGGGATCGATTCGTCCGACAGAGAGATACTCTCGTTTGAAAGGCGAGCCACTGGATTGCACTTCGGCGCCGATATACCTGGTTTCCGGACCGAAGAAGATGTACAGGATGAGCTCGCAGGCGTTGGTCTGATTTGAGAGTCTGTATTAGTGGTGCGAAGTGCTAGAGGGATTTTTTATGACTCACGATTGCCAACACCCAGTAAATCCATCGATATCCTACGCGTTGAGCGACAAATCCGAAAATCAAGGGGCCGACGGGTACTCCCAATGTCACCATCACCGTCCAGATTCCCATGTAGCGTGCTCGCTCCCGTCGGAAGAAGGTCTCTGCGACAACAGCGCTTCCGATAGCCATCGCTGGACAGATGAAGAAGGATACCAGAGCTCGGCATGCTGCCATTGAAGCGTAATCGGGGCTCTTTGCGCAGCCGATGTTACAAACACAGCTGAAGATGAGGGACAAGAGGAAAATCGGGCGCCGTCCGAAGCGCTGGGAAAGCGGTTTCCAGAATAACGGGGCACCTCCTAGGATGGCGATCTGAAGCGATGTCAGATAACTGACTCGTTGTAGAGAGACGCCGACATCTTCGGAGATTTCTTCATAGGCGGGAATGATTGCGGCGGCCGTGAAGGTTCCCATGCACGCATGGAAGGCTACCAAGCTGAGATTTGCAACTTTCTATTCAGCCATGTAGGTTAGCACTGGCAGTCATGACGAGAAAGCCCGCAGGAAACAATAGCACCACGAAACAGGAACGAAAAAGGAGCAACACACCTTCCATAACGGCCAGTTGTATGGATCAGCCGGATCCATACTAGGGATTGGATCCAGATCTAAGGTGCCATGTCGTTGAAGGAGGTAATCACGATGCTGATCGGAGAGTAGACTTGTCGCATCGACATTTTGGATGTCGGCCTCCGACTTCTCTAGGAACTCTGACTCTGCCTTCCCAGGCGCGTGTCCTTGGGATGTTGTACACTCCGTTGACGACATGATCGCTGTGCAAATTTTGTTCTCTCACAAGAGCAACTAGAGAACAGGAAAGGGGTTGTCAAACGGGCATTAATCCAGCTATAGGGGATTCCAAGGTGTGGGCCCCAGCACGATTACGCGGACCCATCCTACTCTTCCTGAGACAGCCAAACAGGCCGATCCATACGGGGAAAACGCGGGGTCCCCGTGCTCATTTCCCGAGTGGCCGTGCTTAAGGATAGCGCCTTATCAACGAGCCATTCGATGTCGCCCATGCGGTGGAGATCACGGCCCCACGGTAGTTGGGAAAACGGACCATTGCCGGCTAGAACCCATCGCCTGAGATGCGGGGATCTCCGTCTAGATTAATAAGATAGAGGATTTTCCAACGCACTGCGTTCGGCGTAAAATATACCGATGTGAGCTGGTTTGCGCCGAGGCCGATTTGCTTTGACGCTAAGACTTGCCGAGCGACAATGCCGCGCCTCTGATAGACGCATTGTTCCAGGCAAATTCGCCTCTGGATTGCTTGGTGTTGCTTATTTCGCTGCCCAGAAAGCCAAAAACGGGAAGTTTATTTCTTCTGTAGAAACCATCGTATTCTCAAGACTGTGGAGCAGATAACACGGGGGTATCATGTCGAGTTCAGCAGCTTGTAGAGCAACATATAGAGGGCAGAAGAGAGGACTAATAGGTGAAAGGAAAAGGGGTCAAAGGGCTGCAGTACAATAGATTCCGAGGGACAAGACTCATTAATTAAACAGCCGGTATATTCCATTGCTACTCAATTGCCGACAAACGCTACTGGTCTAGACTATATCCTTGGCGCAAATAGCCCATACCACCTGGCATTATCCTTCGCTTACGAAGTAGATTACGAGTCATGTGCCCTATTAGCATCATGACACGCTTTCCCGGCCTTTACTTACAGGTCTATAGCTCTGTACTATTCAAGATTGACGGCTCCGACTACTGGAACGGGAGACACCACGGTCGCCTATGTCCACTAGATGGAGCTGGGTACTGTTATGATGCTTGACTACACTTCTGCCTAGGGCGTAAGAAAATAATTAGCAAAAGATAATAGTAGAGTAGCTTGTGGCCGATAATGTACAGACTCGAGGCCGTCGAATATTCTGTTAAACTTTCTTTTCTTGATATGGGCTTCCCCACGCTACATCTATCTATAAACTGTGAATAAGGCTAAAGACCTATGCATATGCGTATTAACTCAGTAGCTCTAGCATTACCCCACATCCAAGGGCTAATAATATCAGCGACGGTACGTTCGCATGCTGTCTTGGAATATGAGATGCACTTTCCATGACTTACTGTCAAGTAGTCTCCCCGCACAGACCCTGATGGCAGATCTCGAAGCCAGCCTCTCCCAGAATCCGGTAATTTGGTTGTACTGGATGATTTACCGGTAGTTGAGCAAGGCCACCGGCCAACCCTTATCAGATTCCTCCTCCGTACATTACACAGCCCCAAACCGACAGACATCAAGAAGGTGTCCATGCCAGTGGATTCACCGCATGTAACCATAAGTTATGTTGCGAATGAATTGAAATAGAGCACACTAGCTTTCGTCTACAAAGGTCGACCGTTGAACGATCTTTACACCCTACCCAAGCCGAGGATGCAAATACACGACTCAACGGCTCTCATACCGATAAAACCAACAAATGACGTTGGAGAGGATTGAAGGTTCCAGGTGGTAGAGGTACATGCAGGATCTCGTTTTGGGGATTGAGCAACAGCTGAACCCCCTTTTCCCCCTTGACATGGAAACGGGGTGATTTCAAGAGGGATGAATAGTAACAAATGCTTTTCGTCTCTGATCGTAACATCGCCCTTCTACAGTGTCCATTTTCAATCAGACGCGTGTGAATAAGTTTCAAGGGGGAAGGTAATTCCCCTACATAAACTCTTGAATCGTGATGGGGTATTCGTGAAACATGTACCCCGTGCAAACCCGCATCTGGTTACAAGAGCAGAGACCCTTTCCGAAACACTCAACAAGCATGCAATGTCTCGTATTTCATCCTATCCGGAGGAAAATGAAGCATTTTTTTCAACGAACTCCAGGAAAGCGAAGGTTAGACGCCGAGCAGGTGGCGTACTGGAATGTGGCTGGTGTTCCCTTCATCCACGCAAGGGATGCCCTAACGTCCAAAACAACAACTGGCCATTCTTAGCAAGGGATACCACCCTAAATACACGACGAGTTGAAATCTCCTGTCACTCATCGAGAGACACTTGACACTGACACCTCACTCGGACGACTTCCACCCAATTCTCACCCATCTACAATGCACGGACTCAAGCATCTCTCTTACCTGGGTTTGGCCTTGGCCATGGCCACAGGCACTGCAGCAGAGACAGCTAGCGTATGCGATCTTCCACAGTACACAAAGACATTTACTAATTTCTCTGTTGTGCAGGTTGGCTTTCAGACGGCTGAGTCAAGCTTTCACGTCGACCACATTCCATTAAAACAGTGTTTTGATGTCCACGCAGAGTAAGTACAAGTGATTCTGGTGTAGCTTAAGGGCGCGAAGTAACAATGCTATAGAGACGTTACAGCCATCTACGTTTCCCAATATTGCCGAGTCTTCCTGTAAGTGCCCGACCATCATCACGACCTACATGCAATTTTTCCTGATCAATCTTCAGCGGTCGCGATTGTACCGAGAAACAGGTCCTTCTTAGCCCCGGCGAACACGAATCCCCGATAAGTATTCCCGTCATCGACAGTGTTTGGTGCGAATCGCGCGGCCCATTCGGAGGGCTCTAAGCATGTCGCCAGCAAACAGAGATGGGAGAACTCTCGAAAGAACGAACGGCACCCGAGGTGTTATTTTATGTACAACAGACAGCTAATACAAGCGTTGCGCTTCTTATCAACCCTAATCGACGTTCATATCTCACAATCTTGTGGTGGCTGTCCACCTCTCCCAACCATGAATTATACTCGCATCAATCGTACGCATAAATTTTTTTATCAACACAGTCAGCTTCTCCCAGGAGACCCTCCCTTCCCACGCCACGGATGAGTCATAATGGCCATACTAGTCTATTTACAAACCGTCGTGTTCATAGGCAAAGAATGGCGGAAGACCTCTTGCAGGCTAGGTGCAGGCTGTGGAGTTTCGTAGTGAACAGTCCATACACCATATAAATATTCTTGAAATTATATATAAAGCATAGTGTATGATACTCTAAATTTAGCGTTGAGGACATGCTGGCAAAGCTGACAATAGATCGAAATTTATCCACAAGGGGTGATGAAAACATCCTTCACATACATTCCGGTAGTTACTCCAGGAATGTTTCTATCCTTTTTCAAGTAGCAGAGCCCGACATCCTAATCCCTGATCCGAATCCTTGGTTCTTCAGATTGGGTTAACTCTTGTCTCGACCACATCTTGCTCATCGCGTGGCTCAGCCCTCATAAACTAGAATACTGGAGCTTTTCGTCACCTTTTTTGGTTTTGCCGTTTCTTCCATAACCGTGCTGATGGTATAGCAAGTAGCCACGGATGTGAAATTGTTACTTTCCAGTAGCTTTGGATCTTTTGTGTTTCGTTTTCTGCACTGTGTGTATGTAGGCCTGGTATACCTGGTAATGCCTGATATAATATACTTATACGTATAGTTTGTCTTGATTTGCATCTGGATGGAATCAGCGTTGCAGTGTCAGCTGTCAATATCACTGAGATTTCTTTGCTCAGACACACGTCTCAGTGTTTAACCTCAACTGCGTCCACTGACGTAACAACCAACTATAAGACGTGAATTGCTAAGTCTCTAATCTTTGCATTTAACCACTACGCAGAGACACGCAACGTATAAGAATCGGCACGCACTAAAAGTCCGCCTCAAAAGCACGGTCGCTCATAGTTCCCCGTACGGAAGTCGTGATCCCAGTAATTGGATTGTCGCACTCGCGATGAACATGTCTCGTTCCATCTTTATGCAAATCGATATCTCGCAGCTGATAAACCCCGTCGGCGCTAAGCTTCTCGCGATGGTGATAATCTCCATCGTCCGTGCTAGAATCTAATATCTCATCGTATGCTCCTGTGTTGGGGTTATAAATCGTGCGGCCACGGCCGTTCTCAAAGTTAGTTCTCTTGATTCCCTCGCCACTAGGGGATTCGTATTCGTGGATACTCATGTCGGTTGTCGTCTCCTTTTTCGTACTGAGGCGTTTAGCCCCTCGGACACCATACTTGATGGTTGCATCGGCATCGTATGTGTACGTTGTATCGTGGGTTACGTAGATGGAGCCATCGACACCATCAGGCATGTCACTTGAAGAAGAGGAGGAATAAGACTCGTTCGTGCGGTCGCTCATTGTGTGTTGTTTTAGTTGGGGGTGGGGACAAGCTTTGAATTCTGAAGACTTTGTTTGATAGTTCCTTCGGATCTTGTAGGGCCTGGTTTACTACAGCGCTTTTTATCATACTACCAGTGGCGATGAGCATGATCTTCATATGCTTCTGGTGTCACTGCATTCAGACACTGCCGAGTTCGAAAACACTGAATCTGACTGGATATCACACCCCGGATAATAGTTGAGCGTATCTCTGGAGTTGCATCGACTGCATCAGCAGGCTACGTAGAATGCCACAACGTCATGGCTCTTTGTGGAGAACACATTGACCCGTCATATTCGATCGATCCATTAGTACAGTGAAAGGTAGTTTCCTTCGATGTGGAGCTAGATCCCCCTGATGGTTACATGTGCATTGCATCCTGCTAAAGATTACGCGTGTTTATAATCATCTAGAAAACAGCAATACTGAGATGTGTCATCCGTTCCAAAGAAGACTCAAGGCATTTTTGGAGTAAGGATCCTCATGAATGTAGCCAGTAGTCGTTCCAAGATAATCCTTGATTTGGTAGATATATATTTTTGATGCACATGCAGTTGAGCTAACAACAAGTCGTGAAACCCGCCCTACAAAATGAAACAATATATAGGTGGAACACTTTTAACACATACATAACTCAGAGATGGGTGAGAAGGGAGAGTAACCTCATACGTAAACTGTACTGTCTAAAGATTCAACAACAGCCAAGGCAGGCTGGTTCTGCACGAGATTGAGAAGCAAAGATATCGTCACGGACATGTATTCAACTAACAAAAACTTAAATATCAACAAGTCAGTGTGGCCGAGTGGTTAAGGCGACAGACTAGAAATCTGTTGGGTTCGCCCGCACAGGTTCAAATCCTGTCGCTGACGATATCTTTTGTTTTTTTCCTACGCATACTTTACCTGACCATCACAGGCAAACAATAATTCTTGGGGTAACAACCCTTATAATTCTGGCTCCATAATTTTATGAATATATTACCATCCCAACAGTTGTTATTCTTGATAGTACGGAGTAAAATATCCAAATATATCTTCCTTTTGATGAGCGTACCCAGCCACTATAAAATTCTATTTGTTTCTATCGCATTATTTAAGATGTCTCTTGTTTTTTTCCAGTTACAGTACTAAACAGATGTAGAATAATTCTTAGCAGAGAACTTACAGATATTGCACGGGCTTTCGGGTAAGCTTGGGTTAGATCGAATCTCTGGAAAATCCGTCCCGACAGCAGCTCTACGCGTTACAAAGTAGTATACATGGGGACTAAACTGTTTAGAGACTGATGAGTTACTCAAGAAGGGTCCTTATAAATGCCAGTTTAGTTGTATCCAAGATATAGTTCGACTTCCCAGAGAGACATTACCCTTTCATACTCTATTCAGAATCTTCCTCTTCAGCTTCCTCCTAAGAATTCTTTTCTTTAGAGAGACGGTCTTGGATACTGCGCAATACAAATTCGAATTCATCGTGATGACCCTCTGTCAACGCGAATCCCCGCCAGACTCGACCGACACGCTCTCTGTATAAATGATGCAGATATTTAGGGTTCTTAGCGTACTTCTTCACCTCGTTGAAATCATCCCAGTACATCTGCCAATACTCATCTGGCTCAGGCACGCCCTCCATTCTGCCACATACACGCATATCCATTAGTATATCTGCTATAAAACCATATCTGCAGCTGGTAGATACATCCAGATAGATAGGAAAGGGTGAACATACTCTTCATCTCCCCTAAAGCGCAGCGTGCCATTATCGTTCCCGAAATATCGAGACATATTTAGTCTCTGAGTAATATCGTACATGGTGTTACAATGATCTATAAACCTGTAGCTCATACAGAGCATTGGGCCCCATTTTTTATTTTCGTGAATAAAAATTTTGAGATTGTGTACACTGGCAGTAGAACCATCATGATACTCTTGGTGCTCCTCAAAATGAAAGCCTAGCATGTAGAGAGGATTAGCAATGAAGCATATAAATTCAATCGGACTGATTAAACAGCCAACTTACGCCATCCCTTCTGGCCATCCTCCAGTACAAGATAGTCATCTAGGGAGAGCTCTGATTCATGCTCATTGCCGTCGTTATCTAGCAAGACAGCCTTGAGCTTGCGGTCATCTGTCAGCTCATAGCTGACTGCCTGGGCGATGCTGATCATAGTTTTGTTGAATTGATTGAATTGAAGAGCTCTATGTACTCTGCAGATAAACAAGGCAATAGAAACCAACAGAAGATGGAATGATCAGATCAGAACAACAACCAAGGGGGGTAACGAGACTATTTCTATTGCCTGAAACTCTGCCTGTGCCGCTCTTCCTGTCCTCGGTCCTCGCCAAGCAATATTTGCTGTAAACTCTGTAATAAGTCCTGTGGTGGATGCAGTGGGGAACACAAAACAACGTACGGGGTAGTCCTACGTAGTGGCATCTTTCCAGCTGTGGTCCCCACTCCCTGACTCGGTACTCAGCCACGGAACACACTGGTTGCTCTCGCTGAAATATCAGCCGAGATCGCTTCTTAGATTACCGATTTACTTCCATATAAGGTTTACTAGTGTATATTTTCCATGAGAAGGGATATGATTGTTATGCCAAGGCTTCCTGTACAAGCTCTGAATACTTGGTACCATAGAAGAAAGACACTGGCGTATGCTAGATACTATTGGAGACTCTAAGATAACTTATTACAGCGACAGCAGGCCTTATACACACGGTACAGTGTATCTGTAAGTGTTTGTGGCTAGCTGAGAGGCCCACTTCAAAACCTTATAAGCGATCTGCTGACGGAGAAGATCGAGGACAGTTGAGATGCATGTTCAACTTTCATGTCCTTGGTTCCTTGGCATAACTCGCTAGGAAGCCTCCAGTTAGTGTCTCCTAAACGGGAGATGAACTGCAAAGTTTCTTCCGTCGCCGAATGACCAGTACATACAAAGGAAATCAATCTTAAGGTTTGAATGGACCCTCTACACGGCAGAAGCACAAGAGGAATTCGAGAGACTCGGAGAGAGCATCAAGGCGGGATCGACGGCTGTGAAAAGAAATCCAGATGATCTGCCGCAGGAGTTATTTCACTATTCCTTTTTTTCTTCTTGAGTAAATATGGATTCCACACGTTCCTATCGTGTCCACATCGTCGCGTCGTTTGTAAATTAGGCTGATCGTTGCCAAATAGACTAGTACTTAGACCTGAATGAGCATCTACCCTCAGGGTTGATGATGACTCGTTGTCTCTCATCGTGTCCGAATATGCAAAGCAACGGAAAGTGGCCTATGCCTGTCCGGCGTTATTATGCCCAGAGTAGCTTAGAACACTCAAGGGAAAGATTGCGACTGTGCTACATACACGTCTCGATAATAATCCGCTTCCTGCTTATTGTATCGCGTCCACTAAACACTCTCTGCCACACCTTGCTCCTTTGCCACTTGACTAAGAGACGCCTGCAACTTGTCCAATCGGTTCACAATATATCGTCCAAAGATAGGTCTTTCCTGTCCGAACACCATTCGAGTTGTAAGCAGAGAGTTTGCCAGTCCAGCGTTTCATCCCAGACACTTTTCACTTCGTAAAATAGCTTTATTGGGACTCGTGTGCGCCAGTACCCATCTCCAAGGGAGTACTCCATGGCGATCTGCGCATTTTGGACGTCGCTGGGGGAAACGTAATCCATAACCTCATACAGTATCTCCACTGGCAGGTAGCACAAACGGCTGTTGATAGGATCTTGTATGTAAAACCGCGCGTCAGTTCTAGTTCGAGTTTCCTTGATTAGATGCCGAATGATTTCGATATTCGCCGGATCTGCTCGGATAATGACCTTCGTGTCAGTACTGTCAAGGTCAGTCAAACTGCAGACTCGGCGAATTCATACCATCCAAATTGAGCTCGCCACTAAACACGTCTTTCCAACCCTCTACGGCCAGTAGGGGTTTCTCCTTGGGCAGTACGATCAGATTCTTGACAACCAAGGCCAAGTCGCGCCTCGCAATCTTCCCAACTGCGTGGTGGGTAAGTAACTTCCAACAACTGTCGTGGACATGGTAGCCGACAAGGTCATTAGAACTTGTGTCATTATCCTGTTTAATTTCTATAGCCAGTATCAGACGCTCTCTGTCCTTTTCAGGGTAACCGATAACTCCAATTGTCTTGTCTCGTGGCACTGCTTCCGGCACCTGGTCATGATGGCGATCGACCGCTATGTGAATGGCCACCCCAGAGATCCGATAATTGTCACTACGAGTATCATGGAGGACTATCTCTGCTGTCAGCTGAAGTGCAGGTCAAGTGTTTAAAGGACAGGAATCACGACTTACTCACGCGGTAGAAGCAGCACCAGTCTAAGCTCTTAATGAACGATCTCTTTCGGAACTGGTATAGAGGGTATAGTCCCCGATGGCGGCGCAGAATTTCGTAAAGCCCATTTGTACCGCCTAGGTTGTCTAGGTCGCCTGGGTCGACCACGAAACCTAGGCGGCATATGCGGCAGCTCGGGAAATCGCCGCTACGCTTTTTCTTGTACACGAAGGAAGACATGTCTTGAGGGAATAACGCTAGCAGGGCAGCGAATATCTTTCTTGCTGTTTTTGGCTTTGGAGAAGTAAGACTCGATTGAACTTGAATGTATGAGAAGTCTTGCTTCTTTCACTGGAGCGGGACCTCAATCGTGCAGAGCGCAAGTAAAGCTGAGACGTTCGCTGCGTCTCTCAAGAGAGGTAGAAGGCTCATAATAACACAACAACAGTCGATGACTAATTGCCCTGTTAGTCGATGGCCTTACATTCACTTCACTTCTGAGGCATCGGTTGAACCTCCGACATACGGGACTGAGGTACCTGGAATATATATGCGACCCGGTCCTCTCCCGGGCTGGATATTACCCATACCTGCTATATGACACTGGTCTGTGATGCTATCTCATATAAATAACGTGTAAGTACCTTCAAGTATCTGCCAAAATACGGCGATTTCGTACGCCCACTTTGTGTATAACATGCAACTATCGAGTTGGGAATGGTAAAAAAGTGGATGGCTTCGTTTCAAGTCATAAAACTCTAGTGGAAGACACACAGTTCTAATTTTCCTATCAGGTGTCATAATTGCTCAATGAATTTGTTTTGATTAACAATACAAAGCGCATGACCAGACAGAACACTTATTGGCTCTGCTGTTGTCCCTAGAAGCGCACAATAATGTCATGATGTCAAAGTATCATCGATCGCAGATCAGTACGCATGTGTCTGAACAGCAGACGAAAGCAACATAACAACTGGCTTGAACTTTGGAAGAAGTCCACAAGCGACAATATCACTCGTATTTAATGCGTAGGGGAACAACATCGGATGAGAACTCGCCCCGTTGGGCATCCCCAAGCTGCTCTAGCTTTTCTGCGGTAACGTCTTCGCGAGGACTCTCCCAAACCGAATGCCAATTTCCCTTTACCCGGACGGAATATTCGTGTCCCATAGTGAGTGGAACGTGAGGCAGTGTAACCTCCTTCTCAACAGAACTACCCGCGGGAATCTCTACTAGATCCTCGGCTGAAGGTGGCATCCGACGGGATATTTTGATAGTTGGCAGGGTCACCGGCTGATTTTCGGTTGTATCACGGAGCTCGAAGATGCTCAGGACATTAGCGCTAGGGTCCAGCGGGGTACCCCAGTTGAGCACTGTGATCGGCGTGTTGGAGGGATTATGCAGGGTTACTCGTATAGGCACTGTCGGTGGCTCGGAGAAGGCTGGAATGATGGGCGGAGTGAGGGTAACTTGCAGCGAAAGGGAAATACTCATAGTTGCTGTTCACCCTGTTGCGCAAAGAGTGTAATGGAGACGATTTGGACAATTTTCAAGAGCGTGTATATTGCGGAAGTTGTGAGATGGAAGGATATGCAACCACTCAACCCCTGTTCTAGATTCTCAGCTGTCTGATAAGGGACAATCCGGAATGCACCGATGAACTACGGCTTTCTAATATTCGGCATTCACCATTGCAGCAGGCCAATAATAAGGACAACCCTGTATCGTGTGATACTGGTGAACAGGGAATGGGTTCCCCGCTGTCCACTTATTTGCGGAAGCCAACGCTTTGATTGACGGAAAATACGATTAATTATCGAATGCCGAGGACTTTCATGTCTTGGGTTACATTCTGCAAGGGATTTAGATTGACCTAAACCCACTCGGCATTTTGTGGACTGCGACTAAGCATTATAGTGCCGGGCCCGAGCACTAGTTGATATGACACCATCCGGCAATCTGCGGACACTTCGAAGATGAATGAAAATGCGTTTCATTTCGGATAAACGTGATCTCACAAGGTCAGAGCTGAGGATATACATCAACCGGTCTATGTATGTAAGAACTATAAACTTTAAAGCTCAATCATGACTACAGCTCGTGAAAAGTCGCGTTATACACCACCACTTCGATCTGATAAAGAAGCCTGAGGACTACAATGACTTCCTGATACGCCAAGAAGGCCTTAAACTCCCGCCAAGAAGGGAAGCCGGGAGCTGCGACGGCATTAAGGCCTGCTTATCAATTGCTTGATGAAACACCATCAAGCCACATCTTGGCTTCGCTCTCCGATTGCACCAGGTGTGCTAAACTCTGAGACGGACCTTCCTAAATCTATATAGCGTGCAGCGGTTCTCCGCCGGGCCAAGGAGCCTTTCTATTATAGACCACTGCCGAATAGCTCGCTCTATCACAACGCCTTCGATCATAGCCAATGGAAAACATCAATCGACTCTTGCTTCAATTTCACGGGGGTGAAGACGATGAGGCCGTGCCCCTCGAAGATGCCAACAGTTCGAGAGGCAGAGTGCCTATCTCCGTGGCCCATGCTACTGCAGCATCAGGACGAAGAATTGAGGGGTGATAGAAAGCCAATTCAAGGTCGTACGAAGCGTAACATCCATCTATAAAAGGGTCTGCGACGACCGGCTGTTGTTGCATCAGAAACGGACCATTCCAGCTCAACAGTCCTCTCCAATACCTCAAGTCCTTCAAAGCTTCAAGATGCGCTTCATTTCTGCCTCCTCTGTTCTTCTGGCCCTGGTACCTACTCTCAATGCCGTTCCTGTGGAGGTTGCCGGTGGCGCCCCAGGACTTGACGTGACTCTTAGCCAGGTGGGCAACACTCGGATCAAGGCCGTGGTCAAGAACACTGGCCGCGAGGATGTCACCTTTGTGCACCTCAATTTCTTCAAAGATGCCGCTCCGGTGCAAAAGGTGTCTCTGTTCCGCAATGGTATGCTTCCGAACCTCCATCTTGTAAACATGTACTGACGTCGCCTAGCAACCGAGATTCAGTTCCAGGGTATCAAGCAACGCCTTATCACTGAAGGCTTGTCTGATGATGCCTTGACAACTCTTGCCCCTGGTGCCACTATCGAGGACGAGTTCGACATTGCAAGCACGAGTGACCTGTCCGAGGGTGGTACTATCACCGTCAACAGTAACGGTCTGGTGCCTATTACCACTGAGAACAAGGTCACTGGATACATTCCATTCAACTCGAACGAGCTTTCCATCGATGTTGATGCAGCCGAGGCCGCTACTGTCTCCCAGGCAGTCAAGATCCTGGACCGTCGTACCAGGGTCACCTCCTGTTCAGGAAGCAGATTGACTGCTCTTCAGACAGCGCTGAGAAACACTGTCTCCCTGGCACGTGCAGCTGCCACCGCGGCGCAGTCAGGATCCGCTACCCGTTTCCAGGAATACTTCAAGACGACGTCCAGCACTACCCGCAGCACGGTTGCTGCTCGCCTGAACGCCGTTGCTAACGAAGCCGCATCGACCTCCTCCGGAAGTACCACGTACTACTGCAGCGACGCGTATGGATACTGCAGCTCCAACGTGCTTGCATATACCCTGCCGGCCTATAACATCATCGCCAACTGCGACATCTACTATTCCTACCTCCCGGCGCTGACTGGCACCTGCCACGCTCAGGACCAAGCCACTACCACCCTCCATGAGTTTACTCATGCCCCGGGTGTGTACAGCCCTGGAACAGACGACCTTGGCTATGGATACAACGCTGCCACTGCCTTGAGCGCTAGCCAGGCTCTGTTGAATGCAGACACTTATGCCCTATTTGCCAACGGTACGTACTGTGTTGAGTCCCCCTTTGTGTAAATATGGATACTAACTAATGATAATAGCTGTCAACCTCAACTGTTAGACACATGTAGTTGTGGTTACCAATGGGGTATACGGGCATAAAGCGTACTTGAAAGATGTATTGGAAAGCTGAAAAGTGAAATAAATGATTATCGAGACGGGATTTGAAGTTGACTAAGAGAGAAACAATGCTGTTCACTTGATCACTTGTCATTAACACTAAACAATCTAGAACGTAAACCACCAGGGTTTTCCATAACGACAAGTCCGTAGGTATCGACAGAATAGATCATGTAACTCGGCCACCGTATGATGCGTCCTCATTCTCCCTCGACCATGACCTTGATTGCTTCAAAACACTACTTCCCGTTTTTCTGTTTTTTTAACTCTGCGGCAGAGGCCATCAATACACTTGTTCTTATAGCAGCAGTTCTCATCAGCTAAGCAAACACCGAGATCCTCCGAACAGCCGGGCCATTTCGGATCGGTGGGACGGCACTTCGTAGCTGCACAATAGGTGGAGCAGCATATTGGACCTCCACCGCCAGACACACAGTTCGCTTGACATGGTCAATCTAACCGGTCCATGTTCAATACATAATGCTACTTACAATAGACCCCTAGGCAGGTAGGCGTGGGAACACAAGTTGTTATGGTTGTCGCGGTTGGAGTGGTGAAGGTGGCAGTTGTGCAAAACTCAGTTCCAATGCAGGCATCAGCATCGCCGCAACGACCAGCAGCTGCTAAGCCTCCTAGGGCGAGGGTGATAGAAAGGAGAGAGACTTTGGAGATATACATTATACCGAATGTGTTCGTTCGATTCCGGCAGTATGTTTTGGACGCTGAATCTCTCACGACCGCAGGCTACTCTTATACCTAGAACAGAATGTCCCTCCACTCCTCCTTGTTTCACTCTGCGCGACAGCGATTGGTCAAAGGATTGCAGATGACTAGAGAATACGAAGAATGCTGCATCATTGTGACAGCTCTACCACCGGATTATATTCCGGATCCTCTCGCAAGAGACCACGGCCGCTGAGTCCCTGAGGTCCTCGACCTTGGTTTCAGATGCTAGGAGCCCGTTGTTGAGATCTTGGGTACTCGTGCATTGCATCGAAAGTCGTGTATCATTCCGATTAGGTTGTCGGGGCAAGGTGAGTGCATCCTTGGTTCCGTGCGCGGCCGTTGCCACCTAAATACGAGCTCGTTCCTAACCCTGTCGGTTTTCCACAAAGAGTAGAAATAACCATTGGCTCTTTGCTTTCCGTCTGTAGGATTGGCAAGAGCTCTACTCCGTAACTGGTGAGCTACTCAGAGCCAGTCATAGGTTAGAGCTATGTCATGCCAAGCTAGGGGGCGGAATATCAATCCTGGGGTTAAAATTAGTAACTGACATTGAAGAAGTAGGGGTATGACTTCATTGACATCGGAACTGTACTTGCGAGGCTTTGACTATTAACGACAGGGTGCATTCTTCTACACAGATGCAAAGATAAAACGTTTACCTGTGTAATGAGTTTCTTTAGCTCGATTTGATGTGCCAAGAGCGACGTTCGGACATTTAATGTGGGTCTTCCTCTCTTGCAGATGATGTTAGTTACATAGTAGTGTATTTAAGACATAAATCTATCTTAGAAAGACTTACCTCGCTATATGGCTCATGAGTGCCCATTGGGCCATTGTCCAGATATCATAGGAAAACGCTCTAGAAAGACGGTCCTATGTGCCTAGACCTAATGCACTAGATGTTACAATTCCAGTTTGACTAGGCTATTGCCACATGATATTTCCAACCGGATCACAGTAACATCACTAATCCAAGGCTGCCTCGTTCCGGTTTCTCAAGTCGAGCGGTTTGCTCATTAATCGAATGAGAGTAGAGCCATCAAACTGAGCCTGCAGAATCCTGAACTATCGGGTCCTAGAAAAGAACACATCGGATCTTTCGATGTGACATGACTGGCCAGAGAAACAATACTAGTAACCGCGACGGGTGAAAGATGACTCAATGCAATGATGGCATGATCAAGAGTCATCGACCTGATCCCCCATTTCCACATGAGTTTGATAATCACTGCCGAGCAATTAGTTGACAACATACTCATTGCGCAGAAAGGTGTGTCTGGCATGTGGAAATCAGGGGTCAATTTGATCCCGAGGTTCACAGTAATCCAGCCAGTGCTGGAAGAAACACGATGAAGCCGGCGTCGGAACTGGTACTCACCTTCGCTGGCATAATGTCAACTGGTGACCAGTCAAATCGAACGGTTGTATTGCTACGGATAATACATAGGCTAGTAGGGAGTCAAACCGAAAGCACAGCCATCCGTGCCGAAGCAGAAGAAGATTTGATATCTGGGTCTTACGACTTGACATAGAGGCCTAGGAAACTCCATCGGTCTAGAGTAGAAATGTCGAGAGATCATCTTATTATCATATTGTTCTTAGTATACCCATGGAACAGAGAATCATCCTCATTTTCTTTAACGGGATGTAAGAGTTGATTGGCAGGAACAGGGTCAAAGAACCTGAAACGAGGATTGAAAGCTGGAGTCACTTCGGCGGGAAAGTCTATACTCTATTCGATAGCATGACTTGGCTGTCTATTCTTAATACAATCTTGCTCGACGCCCAAACCTTTTCACCGGGATTTTATTTTGAAGAATCGTGCTCAGTGGATATCAAATACTGGTAGTAGGATGGGTGAGAGCTTCAGTGAGTGACCTAGCCAGTAACAACTTACTAGAATCGGTGCTAATAGTATTGATTTAATGTGTGTATTCTTGCTTCTCTAAGCTCTATAAATATAATACCCTCCTAGTCTTCATCCTCAGCAATGATCACATCAACTCTATTGAGGGCTTTTAACTTAGTGATAGCCTCCTGGGTCAGCGGCCTGGTCGACAATCTCCTATTAGCGAATTTCACAGTAAGACGAAAGAAACTTACGGGGGATGATAAATAGGTGGGAAGCTTGGTTGCGAGATGAACTGATCAGTGTCGGCGTCCTCCTTAATAATACTATACTAATAGTCAGCAAACTTTTTTCTTCGAAAGGCGCTCTAATAAACTCACTTGAGGACCACTGCATCGTGCTGTTCGAATCCCTCGGGGGTAAAGCGAATAATAACTCGCTAAAGGGATCATGTCAGCCTTGATTATTGTGTAAAGACATCATATCTCTTAAGGATCAAGTACCTTCCTCCCAGACATATTGATGTAGTTTATCTTCACTCTAGAAATAAAAACAAGCGTTCACCCGACATCAGAAGATCGAGGATACCCCGACCTACTTATAAGACAACGCCCTCCCCCACACCCCAAGAATCCCATCATACCTCACTGCCCCTCCTGACGCAATACCTTGGCGCCGTTGATCTATTTCCCCGTCAGACATACTACGTTGCTCATCGATGGAGATTCACCCCGCGCACAGGCACTACTGAGGAGGGGATGCACGTATTGGAGGGCCAATGTCGCGCAATCTGCACAATGGTGGAGACAAAACTTTTCATTGGAGCAGAGCGTACCCACAGCCTACATCCATGGGTTCGGTCTATTGGATTGAGGGTGACCTTTCATTGCATTCGCGACTGACTCCTGGGAAGCCATGTATATCATTGAAAAATTGTATCCGGGGTCTGAGTGGAAAGCGGGATAAATTCCTATACATTAGGCAACTTTGGTCACAGTATATCGGAAGATGCGTTGTCGTATCGAAGATATAGTATACTAGTAAGGTGGTCCACGTCAATGAATCGTTGCTTGGGTGTACTTTCGTTCGGCGATAGATTGTGTTGGATGTATAAGGTAGCGATGGGATTAGCCATATCAGTCTGAGCGCGTGTATGTATACCTAAACATGTTTGAGTGTTCCAACCGTTGGAAGTTGGACGTGGGCCCAATCTCTGCTCACACAGGCAGCGTAGTGGGCGTGTTGCAGTTGAGCTCAAACATCGAGACTGGTGTTCTTGAAGTGTAGATCACCAAACTGACATTTCGACATATCGCAATACTGGGTAACAATTTGGTCAAATAGCTACCTCAAGCTGGCTTTCGTTAGCCTGCATGTCTCAACCGGTTGGCTATTGCATGCCATGTGTCAACGTATATCGGTAGCTGTACATCCTTCAGTGTGATACTGCATATCTTATTTGTCATGATGTTATGAGAACAAGGGTACACCCTATTGCCGAAGGCTGTGGAACATTGTCTGTCTGAGGCCTGTTCCTTTAGCTACTTGTAGTTCAATTAGCATACCTTCCCTTAGACCAAGTGGTATAGGAGGCAGGAAGTCTACCTGAGATCACCGTCTAGAACAATAATATGGGAATAAACTCGACGTAATGTAATTGGCGTTTACCAAGCACACATATCTGATACAAATGTTACGATAAGATAAACAAGACCAAGGCGCTGGACAATACTAAGTTATCAAGTCATGTTGACTGATTACAGTCATGACTTCGGATCTATCCGATTCCCATTGAAGACCTCGGGTAAGCCAAACAGTTCCCATGATTTTTCGCCCTACATTATCTCGAGTATCGTATCATACCAATTTCCTATGATACGAACTTAGCATATATACTTGATCTTTCTACGAAACTAGTTGTATGTCGGGATTGCCATTCTGGCCATCATGCGAATCGGCGTTCTCAAAGGAAACGGAATTGGGCCGGAGATCTCAGCGGCCACTATCCGTGTCATTGAAGCCACTGGTATCCAGCCAGAATGGGACTTTATCCCTATTGCAGATGAAGCGGTCAGGCTGTATGGACACCCTTTGGCTTCTCAAGTCATCCGGCGCTTGAAGGACGTGACACTCTGCATCAAAGCTCCACTACTAGCAGAAAAGCTCCATGGTCGTATCAGCTGTACGCAGAGCGATGGTTCGGTGGTGACATACCCCTCTATCAACAATGCCATCCGCCGAGAATTGAACTTATTCGTGAATCCAAGACGGGTTAGAGGCTATGCCGGTATCTCTGGGCGCCATGAGAAGATGGACCTGGTCATCATGCGCGAGATCACCGAAGATACTTATATTGGGTGGGAACAAAGCCTTGAGGAAGGGCAAGCAGCCGAAGCAATCAAACGAGTCACCCGTAGTGCATCGTGGAAAGTCTCCCAATATGCCTTTGAATATGCGCGGAAGCACGGTCGAAAGAAGGTCTCGTGCTTGCACAAGGCAAATGTCCTCCACGAAACGGACGGCCTTTTCCTGCGGACTTTCCAGGAAGTTGCTCAGATTTACGGTGATATAGTGGCGGATGACATGATGATTGACGCCGCCTGTTATTCCGTTGTTCGAGATCCCTCTCGCTTTGATGTTGTCGTCACTGTAAATCAATATGGTGATATTTTCTCGGACCTGGTTGCTGGGCTGGCAGGCTCGCTCGGTCTGGCCCCCGGTGCGAATATCGGCGATTGTGCTTCGACCTTCGAAGCTGCCCATGGAGCTGCGCCGGATATTGAGGGAACGGGAGCGGCCAATCCTATTGCGCTGATTCTATCTGGGGCGGAGCTACTGGTTCATGCTGGGTACGCGAGAGAAGCTGAGGCGATACAGGACGCGGTTACTCGAATCATTGAGGCAGGGAAATTCTTAACTCCAGACTTAGGGGGATTCTCTACGACGGAGCAGGTGGCCGATGCTATTTCAGTGGAGGTAACGGCAATCCTTGGACGTTCATAGCTCAAGTTGATGAAGGGCTCAGTATGATAGGTATATCTCGTATTTATCCCAATACATCTTTCCCGGTGTGTGGCACCAATAGAGCTATATACTATGCTATATCACAGTATGACATTTGACATCAGGTCTGATGCTACATTTGTTTAGCTCTTCCATATCGATCACATAGGTGCTCAGCAATGGTCCATGTGATTCCCTGGGCTGTAGAGCGTTACTCATGATAATCATACAACGTAGCCGGGTTCTCCACCCACAACAGCTGCCACTCATCCTCCGACATCCACCGGCTCAAGGACTCAATCCAGGCCTTATCGTCAATCTGAAGGAAGGCTTCCTCACTGGTCGAGCTTTTACCAGCCCGATCCTTATGTCGTTGTGTATGGGGCCAATCACTTCCCCAAACCACTCGCCTCGGGTTAGCATCCACAAAACACCTCACCAGCCAGCGGAGGTCATCATAGCCTGGCGCCAGATTTGAACAGCGATATGGGGCCGAAAGTTTGATCCATAGGTTACCATTTCGGAGTGTCTCGCAAAGTGCTGCCAGGCCGATGCGTTCTCCTTCGGCCAGATACGAATCATCCTGGGTATTGGTGGTATGATCATTAGCCCTGTAGCTACTCCCAGCTATTAAGGCAAAATGGTCCACCACAACTGGTACCGGGCAGCTGTCCACCACGTCTCGCAGGCGTGGCCAAAACTCAAGATGAGGTTGTTGGATCTGAATGCTCCATCCTGGCCTGCCCCATTTTGCTAGCCGTTTAGCCGTAGCTTCGATCAACTCCGCTTGAATCTGCACGTTGTCCATGGCCTTGTGGCGGAAAAAGTCTAGGCGAACTGAGCGTACCCCAGCCTCGTGATATTCATCTAGAAGCTCATCTGAAATCGTTTCCAGATCCAACACGCAAATACCCCGTGCCTGGCCGCGGAATTGTTCCAAGTAGTAAAGAAGAGACCTGCAGTCAGGCCCATAGGAGAGACCATGCGCAATGCAGACATGGTCGACTTCAATCGACTTTTCGAACTTCCGTAAATCTTCGAGCGAGGCGCGGGCGGGTGTGAAGTGTCGACCTTCTGCGAATGGAAAACGATCCGGCTCGAAAATATGATGGTGGGTGTCCCATGCACCTGATGGAACCGACTTCTTTGGGAAGCTGCTGCTGTCTTCGGTGGCTACACTGCCCATGATGACGGTCTTCAGACTCTCGATAGCTTGAAACACGGGAAAGAAGATGATGGTCAGCTGGAGAAGGTTAGCTGTATGGGCAGTAACTCAATGGGGCCCTTGTGACTTTGTGGTCAGGGAAAGAAAGCTGAAGAGATATATGGTAAAGTATACATGTCGTGTAACTGTATGTTCTAGTCCATTTATATTGCATTTCTACGAAGCTAGTGCGCCCTTGGCTCGGCGGTGAATTGACAGTCCGATATAGGAAGTTACTGCAGAGCAATGTTGTTAAATCCAGCCCCCAGCTTCATAGCACCGGTTATCTAAGCCTTGTAGTTCATATGGTGTTGCCGATATTTCCTCTTAATTCCTCTTGATGCTTTGCATAGATATAAACGGCGGGTATATCCGAAGGCTTCGGCAAATGGCCGAGCCGAGAGTCGGAGTCGGAGTCCGTCCTTTCCCACCGCAATTGTGCCGTTATCGCATACATCAAACATGAAAGGTACCCAAAATTAAACACTAATAATTGTGGCTCAAATCCGCTTTGTGAGGGCCAAAGTTAGGTGATACTGAGGAAATCAATTGGTCGAATTGCCCGACAATCCAGCACGTTATAATGTCATCCGATCCGAAAGATATCATCGCGCGTCTGCAACAGTGGGGTGCCTGCGATGTGAGTATACACTTTCCAGAATGCAGCTAGGAATAAATTTCACTTGAACCACATTCACTGTGGTAGATCAAGAAATCATAGCTGACTAGTCGACCAGGTTGCCGATGGCCTGTCCAAGCTGAAGTATCCCAATGGCGGCTTCCTCGAAGGCCTAACCATGTACTCGCCACAATTCCAAGCCGGTGAAACGAAGATCGTCGGCCAAGCAATGACAGTCAAGTTTGTCCCTAAATCGGACATTTCGTCTCCAAAAGTGCAGGGAAACTATGTATATAACCATAACATTTTACTAGAGCCTATGAACAAGACTAATCTGTGCTTAGATCGACAAAATCCCTCAAGGCGCAGTGGTCTTCATCTCGCAACCTCTCCCTCAAGTCAACGCTGTCTACGGCGGCCTCATGACTTTGCGTGCTCAGGCACTTAACGCAGCTGGTGTCGTAATCGACGGGCGTGTCCGCGATCTGAACGAACACCGTGCGCTCAACTTTCCTCTATTCGCAAAGTCGGTGGGTACAACTGCCGGAGGCGAAGTATGTCGCCCTTCGGAGGTGAATGTACCTGTTCGGCTCAATTCCGACAACCAAGATGCGTGGATTAAACCCGGTGACTATATTATCGCCGATCTCAACGGAGTTGTGCGACTTCCCCAGGAGCTTGCGGAACAGGTTCTTGATGCTATTCCGGCTATTGCTGATGCGTATGCAAAGTGTGCAGAGGCTATCAAGGCAGGTCGATCTGTGGAGGAGGCTTTTAGGGAATTTCGTGGTCGTTGAATGGAGCCATGAATAGAGAATCTAATTACCGCACTGTCTTGTTGAACTACAGTCCCGAAAATGCAAACTAAATCAATCATGCACCTGTTGCTCACCCTGGTGGATAGAATATGTATGCCTTCAAGGACTAATAGTCAACAGGCATCAAATAAACGACATATAGTAAAGGGTAGCAATATATATGAAACATGGCAGTATTCATCCGTTCACTTTGAGTGATGACAAATCTAAACATAATCCACTCCAGTGGCACAATGACAGTACTTTGATGGTCATAGAAGGCAATGTATACCAGAATCCGGCACCCTTCATTTCGACACTTAACCGTGCCTGTAAATGGAGAGTTACAGTTATCATAACTCTCACAAGATTGGGAGTCAGCCCTATGCAATGAAGCGAAACTCTTCCCTACGCGTAGCACGCTCTTCCTCGGTGACTCCCAACACCTGAGCTTGACTTCCGCCCTTCATTTCTTGCTCCACTGTTGTCTCTCCCCGAGTGAGACGTTTGTTTGCACGAAGAAGAACCATTCGCATAAACAGTGTGAGGATAATGACTGCTAGACTGAATGCAGCGTTCACCGACATAGCAAGGACGTATCGTGGTGCCGAGCTATCTGGGTATAGGTAAGAGGAGAAGATCTGTGATTGTAGAATAACGTTAGTTTGGGATCTTGATCAGGGAAACGCGCTTGGAATAGAATGCTCACTTGAGATAGATTGCCCACTGCATTAACGAAGGCTACAGCCGAGGCACGTTTTATGCGAGGCCGAAGCATTGTCTTTTGAACCCATGCAAGAAGCACGGCGTTTGACCCGTGGCCACCTGCCACCATGGCAATCATCGCAAAGTATCGAGCACCGGTATTGAGTGTAGCAGCAGCGATGACGAATCCAATAATGGCTAGGACCAGCGGCCAGATGATATGAAAAGAAGAGTTCTTGAGTCGGTCGGCCGACCAGTTATTCACGATGGAGATCAGCAGCGCCAGAATGTAGGGCGGAACGGTCAGCAGAAGCGTATCGACGCGGTTAAAGCCTAACGTCTGAACGACGGATGGGAAGAAGTTGGACGTGGCGCTCGCCACTTGTATGCAGAGGAAGGTCAAAGCAAAGATGTATAGTCGCCAGTCAGCTAAGGCACGTCTAAAGCCGTAGCTCCACCGTCCATCATCTTCATCAACCTGACCGGCATCGGCAATAAGGCGCCACTCAGCAACTGCGCGCTCCGTCGGACTGAGCCATCGTGTATTACTGGGCCAGTCAGGTAGAGTGAATGCCGCACAAAAGGCAATAAATACGGTTACTGAGCCTTCTATGATGAAAATCCAACGCCACGACTCGAGACCACGTACTCCGTTCATACCGCTCTCAATGCCGGCTGCGATAAGACCAGAAAAGGCACTACCCAGCTGAGACCCAGAGAACAAGAACGCACTGCGCACGCCCATCTCGTCACGTCGGTACCATGATGAGATTAAGAACAATGCGCCGGCTAATATGTGTTAGTAGTGAACAAAGGATGCAAGACAGGAGAGCATTAGAAGTGGAGCACCTACGGTAGAAGGCAGCTTCCACAAAGCCAAGAAGGAAACGGAGGGCATATAATCCCCCGGCGTTGTGAGTCGCACCAACTAGAGCCGAAAGCATGCCCCATATAACCATAACACTTGGGAGGTACCAAGATGGACGCATCTGAGCTAGAAAGACGTTCGACGGTAGTTGCATTAGCACGTAGCCGGCGAAAAGAATAGCCACTGCTGTAGCATATTGTTCGCTTGTCATATGCAGCGACTTAGCGATACCAGCAACTTTCGCCGCGGCGATATTGTTCTGTACACCGGAGTTGCAAGTATTAGCTAGAGGAAAAGAGAAAATTGACAATGAGTAAGGAGATGTTTATTTGTCCATAATCAGTATGGCGTATTGTTGAGGGACATGGCTAGTCATTTCGAGAACACTTACTCGGTCAAGGTAGTTCATCACAAACATAATCCACACGGAAAGCAGGAGGCGGACATCAAGCTTACGCTTCAAGCTCTTCTCGGCGGCAGCAAACTCTTCTGGACTCATTTGTTGCGCGGCTGCCACTCGGTTGTTAATCCCTTTCTCCGTGGGAACGGCTTCCTCCTCACGTTGAAGCGACTGTTTCACTTCGTCTGACATAATGAGTATGGGATAGAAATGATGGATTGAAAAGAAATAAAAAGATGAGAGAGACGTTCCTATGTTTATCTGAGGAGGGTCTGACTCCTGAGCAAGCACACGTAGGAACTATGATCAAGAAAACTAGAAACCTACAAGGCTGGCATAGGCACTCTTATAGTTCCACTTTACCATATGTACCCCATGCCTAGCAGAATGCGGGGAAGTCAAAGCACGGAGACGGACATTCCCTAGCTTCGTAAACCTGGCCGGTCTCAAAAGGGATGTGAGTCTGTGATTGTCTGCTTGAGTCTACAGCGATAACATCGGCATTAAAGGAGGGATCCGTGTACGTTGTGACCCGTTGGTACTTTATCCACTAATAGCGATGGAGGAACTATTTGAGTACGGTAAGGATTTGCCCTCTCTGTGTACTTTTAAGGAACTATTGCAGCGCCGTACAAAATGTGTTTAAAGCTAGGTCTGTCCATATATCTAAATCTACGATTTGAGTATGATCGATTTGATCAAAGAAATTCCACTACACCAGCCATCTGCTATCACTTCATGGCCATGGCACTATATGAACAATAAGACTGAGAAATGTCAGACTTTCGAAAGGGCGTATACCAGAAGTGACCACTACACGGCATAATTGATTGAGGGTTTGAGAAGGGAGCTACGCGTATACCAGCTGACACACTATGACACATAGAGAGTGCTAACAGCCAGCCTAATTCCTAGTTCACATTTTTATAACTTAATCCAAACTTTATGCCGTATCTAAAGATTATCAATATGGGAAACGATCTCGCTCAAGCGGAACGGCGGCGAACCGAAGCAATCGCAAGGGACTTAGCCAGATCCTTCGCGACGGCTACAGCCCGAGACACGCTGGGGCAGAGATTGGCTAGCCCACACCGTGCTAGAGGCATATTCTTATACTTGACAGAGCCCATGCACAATCACATTTGGACAGTGATCCGCTCGCCATAATCTCTCGCGGACCTGTGACTTCCTTACCTTACCAGCGCTGCTCCCTAGAAGCTAGAGTCTTCCGCGGGCAACATTGTATACCAGCCTTCCCGAATACCGCATTCTAGTCCTACATTGCACATCTTTACTTCATCTATAAACAAAAGCCCAATATGACGATTGTTCACATGGGTAAGCCGTACTCTCATCTCACTCCTTGGCGTCAAACACAAGATTTCCTCTGACACAGCAATATCAGTGATGTTCAAGTTTCGCCCTGAGGTGACAGAAGAGCACAAGGATACGTTTGTTCGAGAGCTCAGAAGGCTGAAGGAACTAGACTGTGTCAAAGGGCATCGTCTGGTAGTTGGAGGGCCGTCTGTGACGGACCCAATTGAAAGAAGCAAAGGGTTCGAAATTGCGCTCCTCAGTTTTCACGAGAATCTCGCAGAGCTGCAGAAATATCAAGCCAGCAAAGAGCACCATTGGTACGTGACACCCTTCATAATGATATAATATCATTTGAGAGAAATTTGCTTATTCTAGTTCATGAGAATAGGGTCACCAGTACATATATGTTCCCTTACAAAGAGGACCTGGTGCGCTTTGACTTTGAAGTGGCTCCAGAAGATGAATATATGTGGCATTTCTTGCCTGTGAAGGGCATGAATGGGGCCAACAGCGTCAACGGTCAGATAGAAAATCAGTGAGATACTTTAGATGTTCATGTAATACTTATATTGTGTCTGTGGAGGTAATCCTAAGCGAGCCTTGTTCTATCTGAATAGACAAACAGTTCTTCGCATGCTACTAGATCATTTTAATGTACATGTATGGTAAAGCCACCTGAAAGTTGTATTTTCTGGGGCGAAAAGGACATATAACTAGAAGTCCATTAGCTTCACTTATTGCAGCTGCGCATAATCCTCAATCGACTTAGAATGGACTACGATAATCACGGAAAGCACTTAGACGCTGTGCGCTGGCCAAAATCTTCTGCAGGAGGGTTCCATAGTCCCAACCGATGGCAGCCGCTGCCATGGCAGTCAAGCTGGCCTGATCCTCGCGACCGGGACGACCAGGGCCAGTCATATTCTGTATTTGAAACATTCCAATTAGCAGCTAAACGCAAACAAATAAACCAAAGTTTGGTGACTTCAAAGTATCTTACCGGCTTCATGTTGATATCAAAAAGCGCAAACTCCGAGCCCGCCCGGAAACGTCGCACGTCAATTCGGATCGGCGCCGTTGCTCCAATGAGCTTGGCGACGCTTTGACATTCTTCCATCACCTTTCCATATGCTGGATCTTTCATCTCCTCGTTCGTCACAACTCGGGAGTTTGCCGTCACCGCGACAGACCCATTGTACGGAGCAATGCCATCCGCATGGTTGAATCTCGTCACAGGCAGCATACTCCAGTGCTCAGGCCGTTCCGGCGATGGCGGCATAACTGTGATAGTAGCCTCCTCGCCTGCTAGGTACTCTTCTACCATGATCAGAGGCGACTCTCCAAGAAGAACCTCGATATGTTGCTTAAGCTGGACGGGGGTATGGCATAGCTTTACGCCATGGCTACCGCGTCCGCGAACGGGTTTGCCTACAACAGGGAAGCCTTTGATTGAGCCGACAAATTCGTCGAGGTTATCAGAGTCGGTCACTAGCCATGAGTGTGGCAGAGTGTAGCCGCCTAATGAGCGAAGTTTATCGTTGAGGAATGCCTTATCGTCGCAGTTTTCTACCAGGCAGGCGGCTGACCCACGAAATATAGATCCGAGGCATAGGATGTCAATTTCTCAGATCGCTGCAGCGGGTGCGAATCAAATAGGATTGTATTAGCCCACAGATGAGTAGCGCCGTTATTGACGGCGGAGACGATGCCTTCCTCTGTATCTGAGAAGCACCAGCCTTCATGTTTGAACACTTGTGGCGAGACATCGGGGGTAGTTATGTTGATACCCTTTGACCTCAATGTGTAGGCAATATCTGCTCCTGAGTCTTGATAGCCTGTAGGAGTTACATTAGCTCATGACGAAGTGCGTTGGCCGTGCCGATGGAGCCACTTCCGAGTCAGACAAGAAAATGAAAATAAATTCAAAGGGAAGGACAAGCCCGACAGGGTTTCATTGTAGCAGACATTACATGTACTCACCACCTGGTTTACGAGGTTTACGAACCCCGTTAATGATTGGAGGGTCAATATCTTGGAATAAGACAGCCACTGTTGGGCCCCGGCTGCTGTACAGTCGCCGGCCGACGATCCGTGCAAAGCGCTGTGGGTTCAAAGACCGCAAAGGTGTGGCACGCTTAACAGCCATACTCGATTAGAAGTTGGTAGCCCGATAATCAGTCTGAATAACAGGATCAAAATGAAGCAAGAATAGGAAACGGTTCTCAATCTTTGCAATGACACCATCCAAGAAATTAATGAATCGGCGCGTCGTCGGCTAAAATCCGAAGGCAAAACAAGTGGAGTCAATTCGGCTTCGGTCCGTCACCGTCATCGATCTTCCCCTCATATCCGACTTCTGCTACATTATATTTCCCCCTCAGTATATACGAAGTCCTACTTATACGTTGCTAGCGGCTTAAGCTCTGTAACTTACAGAAAGTCAGTGCATTCTACCTCCAGTCAGCAATTCCTATCGATAGCAACTACTGCACAATGGCCTCCGTACGATGTCCTGAGTTTCGGATGATCCGATATACTAACAGCTACGAAGACTCGCTACTATGCCGATCCCACAGCCGCTGGCCAGTTTGCCTCAGAGCTCTTGGTGAAAGCGGGCCTTTCCCCGGAAGATGCCAAGTCAATGGCCGACTGCTTGGTCATGGCAGATGTTCGGGGTGTTGTAGGTTCCACTACCATGACTCTTTAACTGTTTGTGCAGTGACCCGTGGCCTTACTAACTATGCCCTAGGACACGCATGGGTTGGCTCGTTTGCCTCAGTACCTGGACCGTGTCAGCAATGGCCGCGTCAAGGCAAGGCCAGAGTTCCAGTTGACCCAGAAAACACCTGTTGTGGCTCAGCTAGACGGTGACAATGGCTTCGGCTTCGTTGTCGCCACCAGAGCAATGGAGGAGGCTGTAAAGCGTGCGGAGATTTATGGTATTGGAATGGTGACTGTCAACCACTCGAATCATTTTGGCATGGCCGCCACCTATGTGATTCAGGCCCTGGAGAAGAACATGATCTCTCTTGTCTTTACCAACTCCGCGAAGCAGATGCCTCCTTTTGGTGGTAAGGAGACTCTTCTGGGTATCTCACCCTTTGCAGCAGGCGCTCCTTCCAACAACGAAGTTCCTTACATCCTGGACATGGCGCCATCTGTCGTGGCGAAAGGAAAGATTCGCCGCGCGGCCCGTCGCGGTGAGTCCATTCCACGGGGCTGGGCCTTGGACGCAGACGGTAATCCCACCACCGATGCCAATGTCGCCTTGAATGGAAGCATGGCGCCGATTGGTGGCCCCAAAGGTTCTGGTATTGCTATTCTGATGGATGTCATGTCGGGTGTCTTGACAGGCGCAGCTTTTGGTGGTGAAGTCGGAGATCAGTACAAGGACCCCAAGCCGCAGAATGTCGGACATTGCTTTATTGCCATCAAACCTGATATTTTCATGACTACCGATCAGTTCAAGGCTCGTATGGACACTCTGGTGCAACGTGTCCATGGAGTTACTCCTGCGCCAGGTTTCAACGAAGTGCTCTTCCCCGGAGAGCCAGAGCACCGCCTTGGTATGCAGCGCCGTCAAGAAGGTATCCCATATGCGGATGCTGAGAAGCAGATGTTCCTTGAAATTGCTAAGCAGTACGGTGTTTCTGAGCTTCCTCTATCTGAAAGCCCCCTTTCCCTGGCCTGAGAACCCACCACGTATATAGATTAAAACATTACGAATATACCCGCTCTATATTTAAATTCTAGAAAATTGCCCTCCATCACGCATTTGCGTTTATGCTACTATAGACTCCAAACTACAGTGCCCTAGCAGGCCTTCATTTATGTACCACATACGATTGGACTGACTCCCTGCCAATTTCGAGCGCATGGGATTGAAGGAGATCTTTCTGGCTAAATAAACACACGCTATGGACGTGCCATGTGTCCTAGAGTACATTGTAATGTGTTATTTACGTGTTCACCCATATTACAACATTACAACGATTCATTTGTCCGATGTTTCTGTCAGTGGGTCAAGGCCGGCCGAATACCGGTCCAGGAAGCCGGACCGCAACCGACGGCCATGAAGCCATAATTGACCCACACGCGAGCGAATATGCTGCGACCAAGATGTACAGTCGGCTGTAAGCTACTATGTGATATAGGTACCGTCTATTTGTTATTATTTCACGATCCTGTAGAACTCCCACCCTGTAATATCTTTCCGGTACACATAGGGCAGTCGCTCATAATATTTCAACATGAGTAGGGAGAACGACACATACCCCGCCAGCAACCAGACCTGGCGGATCCTCAACCATGCGAATCAGAATAAGTACGCTGTTGGTGCATATAATTGGTAAGTGACACCGTCCGTGTATAGCTACATTACAACACCTAACACGCATCCAGCTACAATAGTGACGGAATCATGGCTGTGATTCGGGCTGCCGAGCGCCAGCGTTCAGCTGCCATCATCCAACTATTTCCCTGGACCATGCACTTTCAGGGACCAGAGTTCATTCGTTACGTTGTAAGAGCTGCACATGCAGCTGCTGTCCCAATCGCAGTCCACCTGGACCACTGCATCAAACCAGAAGATGTGGAATTGGCGCTCTCTCTACCTTTTGATTCCATCATGGTGGACGCCTCTACGCTCGACGAGGAGGCCAACATCCGCTATTGCAAAGAGATTGTTGACCGAGCAAGAGCTCTCAACATCACCATCGAAGCGGAGATGGGCCGTATTGAAGGCGGCGAAGATGGCTTGCCCACTGTGGACATGGACGCGGTGATGACCCGTCCTGAAGACGCTGAGACCTTCGTGCGTCGGACTGGTGTGCATTTTCTGGCCCCTTCCTTTGGGAATATTCATGGTGGTTATCCGGCTGGCGGGGCAGGGAAAGCGTGGGATCTTGAGCGGTATGTACACAGCCATTTTTGTTTCTCGGGGGGCCTTTGCAGGCTATTCCTTCTTAAATCTCCGCACGTCAGTACGGATTGGCTAATTCTCACCCTGCTGGAATTCTAGTCTTTCGGCCATTGGCAAGCTGGTTTCAGGAACTACACCACTAGCCCTTCACGGAACACACCCGGTGTCTGATGAGCTTTTCCAACGTACAATTACATGTGGCGTACGCAAGATTAATCTGAACCGTACCGTGCGCGATGACTACACAGACTTTGTGGCTGAGAACGCTGGCTCACTTGAGTTGACCGTCCTCAAAGTTCGGGGAGTCGAAATTTATGCTAAATCGGTTGAGAGAATGATGGATGTTCTGGGATCATCAGGACGCTATTAGCTCTGAGGTTCTACCGAGTGATACTTGAAGTATGGATAGCTAATATTGAGATGGTCAAAAGAATCAAAACTTTGGAAAATGCAATATATATATTTGAACGCAGACTTCATTTCAACGGGCAATGTTTGACCAATGACAAACCAGCCTTATTGTTTCAACTATCAATTTTAGATGATAATAATATCACCCTAAATCGAAGACCTTCCATTAAACATGAGAAGTTTGCAGTATATCATGTAGGGTATGTTGAAGGGTAGGTGCACGGGATTTACCCGAATTCCTTGCCCGCCGGAGACGTGATTCACGCGGTCCGATATCAGCGGAGCTGCAACCGATAACTCCAGTTGCCTCTCCTCATGGGCTCCATCGAATCTATTGTCCGAAAGATTTTGATACTCATGCTGCAGTGATAGTGCTTGTTTGCTCCACATGCCTGCCTCACTCAATTCGCCTCTCCGACGCCGTCCACTGGCGTGCCTGCGATGCCGACGGCGGAAAATCCGGTGCGACGGAGGGACACCCGCGTGCTCGAACTGTGCCCGAGCCGGAGTGGAATGTTTCGAGGGAACTCCTGGATCAGCGGTGTCTAAGAGGTAAGACTCTTCTTGCCAGAATGGTTCGGGTGTACTTAATCTTTCTAGTCGATTGCAGTACCTGGAAAATCGCGTGCGAGAACTGGAGGCCCGCGACGAGATTGACCCCTCGGCAAATATCCGAACGCAGCCGACACAGTGGCGCCAAGAAGACCACCACAGCCATGTCTCTCCAACACAGGTGTCACGACAAGATGTCCGCCACCTAGGCCCTGCGAGGGCTATTCATCTGGCTGATGCCCAGTCACCTCTGAGTCGGACGGCACAAACGGATGATACCCCTGGGGCCTCCCCGGCGGTCTCGTCGTCGAGCCGAATCACTCGGGACCAGCCACTGGCCCATGAAGTGGGCTTACTCTCTTTGACTAACGCCAGTGACCCCAAGTATCTGGGTCCGTCATCTGGCGTTACTTTCGCCCGTCTGATTTATGAGAGTGTGCCCCAGTCACAAGGACTGCCATTGGCGTACTCGCGACAGAATGATCAAGACCCAGGGTTAAACGGCCCCAGTCAGGGTCCTGTACTGTGTGAAGCGTTGCAGGTAGACTTGCCTTCTATGGCGGAATGTCAGCAGTACGCCGAGATGTATTTTGCTGCGTCGACATTTTACCCTTTCATATCTCAGGATGTCTTCTATACCCTTCTAGGGGAAGTGTTTCGCCTCAGCAAGACATCGACCTGGGAGAGTCGACTCCCCGTCAAACTAGCACTGGCACAGGTATTCCTGGTCCTTTCTCTCGGCGCAAGATCTCTTGAGATAAAGCTATCTGGAACCTTTGGCTCTAGGGAGCTGTTTGCGACGGGCATGTCTTATGGCACGCAGATCAAACTTCATGATAGCATTGAAGGAGTCCAGATTCTCTTACTCTTGGTGCAACATAGCTTTTATAGCCCGGAGGGGCTTAATGCGTGGTATCTACTGCATACTATCCTCGCAAGCTGTCTTGACCTTGGGCTGCAGCGCCGTGATAATAGTGAGTTACTCGTTTCCGGCTTTTTCATCTGGGCCGAGCCATTCCGTGTATTAAGGATTCGACATGAACAATGGCTAATCTACGTAAACATAGGTAGTAAGGAAAACGAGTCTACATACCAGCGAAACATTCGGCATCTACGCAGTGCAATCTTTTGGTCTGCATACTCTCTGGATCGCACCCTGACTACGATACTCGGTCGCCCGCTTACATTGCGCGATGAAGCGATCGACAGGGAATTCCCCGGATTCGACAGCAACGACGAAGTTGAAGAGGCAGCCACATACT